AGGCGGCTGCAGCCAGGAGGGAAGACAGGGGCCCAGGGGCTCTGGAGCCCCTTCCTCGGCCTGGAGGCCACCCAAGCCAGTCACAGCTGTCCCTGAACCTGGAGACAGCCAGATGTGGGTGGCGGCTGGGCAGGAGGCATGGCACAGGGCCTTCACAGCCACTGAGACATGACCCTCCGCCCCAAGACCGCACTGACCAGCCAACCCTACCCTCTGCAGGGACCTGGGCACCTCCCTGGGCTGCCTGCAGGTGCTGTGGCTGGCTCGCTGCGGCCTGGCTGACCTGGATGGCATCGGCTCCTTCCCGGCCCTGAAGGTGGGTCTGCGGCGCTCCGGGGAGTGCGGGGGGAGGGGGGTCCTGACTGAGCCCCCCCCGTGCCCCCCAGGAGCTCTACCTTTCCTACAACGACGTCTCGGACCTGAGCCCGCTGTGCCTGCTTGAGCAGCTGGAGGTGCTGGACCTGGAGGGCAACTGTGTGCAGGACCCGGGGCAGCTGCGCTACCTGCAGCTGTGCCCACGGCTGGCCACGCTCACCCTGGAGGGCAACCCGCTATGCCTGTGGCCCGGCCCCGGCCCCGCCCACCAGGTGGGCACCGGGCGGGGAGGCGCTCTGTAGCTCCGGCCTCTCGGCCCGGGCACTGCTTTGTCCACCTGAACTCCGGCCGGGTCGCAGGGGATCCCAGGACACATGCCTAGGGCACACCCGCCTATTGCCGGGGCTTCTTCACTAGGAGCTCATTCCCATGTTGCTGGAGGCCCGGCGGCTGCCAGCTCGTCCTCCTAGGCCAGGACCAGACTCCGAAGGGCCACGCGTACACCCCAAGAAGTCTGTGCACACGCCATGGGGAACCACGCGTATTCTGTACAGTCTCCACATAGTCATGTACACAAGCACACACGCTCACATACACACACCCATGCAGGCCCCGTGCAGAGGCAGCCCCACCCCCCGCAGCGCTGCTCGTAAACTGGGGGTCTGTGCACACTGCCCGCGGCTGCACACACCCCCGCACTGCCCGTGCACTCCCAGAGCTCACACGCCTGCCCAGCTACTCGTGGTGCCTGTGCACAGCGGCCGCCCACTGGGCCGGAGCTCTGAGTTCAGGGCAGCTCCGCAGGCCAGAGGGCACCCCTGGACCCTGGCAGTGAGCCCAGAGAGTGAGATCATGCATGGGTAAGAGCCCGGGGTCCCTGCAGTCCCTGCTGTCCCAGAGTGACCCAGGCTGGCCTGGCCGCCTGGGCAGAGAGAGATGGCATCCCCGACTCCCCAGCTCCCCTGCACTGCCCCCCAGCAGGTCTGGGGGCAGCAGCTACAGGGCAATGCTGGCCTGACGGGCCCATCAGACTCAGGCTTGCCACCCCCACTGCAGGTGCCCCAGGGCTACAACTACCGGGCAGAGGTCAGGAAGCTCATCCCCCAGCTGCAGGTCTTGGATGAGTTGCCGGCCACACACACACGCCTGCCGACCTCCCGGAAGCTGGACCACGACTGGCTCGTGGTGAAGGAGGCCATCAAGGAGGGCAGCGTCCTGGACAGCCTGCTCCCCGGGCTGGGTACAGACGGAAGCCGTCCAGGGGCCTCAGGCTGGGGCTGCCCCAGGAGAGGGCTCCACCCCCCCACCCCTGGCCCCGCCCACAGGTCTCAGAGCCGGAGAGCCGCCTCGTGTCCCTTCTCAGCCACGAACCCCCCCACCCACCCCCACCTGCCCCGTCCCCAGAGCCCTGCACACCCGCCCCCAGGCCAGGACACCCTCCCTGTGAGCAGCCCTGGTGGGGGCCTCCCCAACCATCCTCAGGGGGAAAGGAGGGCCAAACCTGCCCCCTGGTGGCGCTGGGCCTCGGGCACACGGATGCTGGGTGGTGGGGGGCCCTGCTCCGTGGACAGGGTTCAGCTGGGGGGATCCTGGGTGGCCGGCTGGCGTGGGCCTTGATGACCTCTGATTTTGACTGTTGTGCAGGTTCTCCCCACGGATCCCCCGTTTGGAGACGCAGCCCCGAGCTATGCTCACCTGAGACCCAGCGCAGGGCCCCAAGGCCCTGGCCCCGCTCCCTGCTGGTCCCCGGGAGCCCCCTGCCTGCAGGCCTTCTTCCCCAGGGCCCAGCCCCAGAGGACGACGCCAGCAGCCTCACCCACGGTAGGCGACCCACCTCGGCGTGAAGCTGCCCTGTAGCCCCTCAGCCCCGAACTAGGCCCAGCCGCACCCTCTTCTTCAGGTGCCGGCCGGGTCCTCTGTGGAAACCCCGCCAAAGGCCTGCAGGAGCGCCGGCACCAGTGCCAGGTACAGCCTGCTCCCCCCAGCAGGCCGTTCCCCGGCCTGACAGTGCCTGCCCCAGCACCTCCCCGAAGGCCGTGCCCCTGAACCAGCCCGTCCCTCCCCAGGCTGGGGTGCACCCAGAGAGGCTGCCACTTCCCGGGCCCGAAGACCTGGCCGCCCGGGCCTCCACGCCAGGGCCTGACCCTGCAGACAGCCGCCACCTCCTGGCCTCGGCCAGGCTTCCGGCCTTGAGGGAGCTGCGCCTGCGGTGGGTTCTCCCCGCCCCCCAGCCTGGCCCCGCCGCCCTGTGTGTCCCTTCTGGCTGAGACCTGCCTTGGCTGAGTGCTCGCTGGTCCTCCTGGTGGCTGGAGGGGCTGGTCACGGGAGCCCAAGGCTGGGGCACCAGCCCGAGCCACACTCATCGGGGATTGGCTCCAAAGGAGGCGCAGGGCTGCAGCCTCTCTCTTTCCCCGCACCCCAGTCCCCTCCCCAGTAGGTGCCTGGAGTCCCGGGAGGAGGGGGCTGCCGCCCCTGGGGGCCCACAGAGGGGCCCTGAGGAAGAGCAGGACGAGGCTGGGCCCACGACTCGCCCCCGCCCCCCGAGCCTGGCCCCAGGTACTGCGCGACCTCGGCTCTGAGATGGGTGGGTACGGGGAGGTCCTCTCTTGGGGTTGGGGCCTCACGACCAAGGGGTTCCAACCCCAAGTCCCCCTCCCCTGAGCCCATGGGACCATGTGGCCCCCAGGGCTGGATGAGAGAGAGAGAGAAGGCCCTCTAGAGAAGGGCAGTGTGAGCAGAGGCCAGAGGGGTCCTGGATGAAAGAGCAAGTGGCCCCAGGGGTGGGGGCAGTGAGGGGCCAGGACCAGCAAGCAGGACAGACCCACCAAAAGTCCTGAGGGGAGCATGGCACAAGGCCAGCCAAGGGAGCAAGGCCACCAGATGGGCAGGAGACCAAGGCGGGGAGGGGGACTGCCCTTCCTCTGTAGACAGGGCCTGTGCTGGGCTCGGGACACAGAATTAAGCCAGGCGAGGCCCTCCCTCAGGGACACTGGCTTCAGAGTGACCATGGCTGAAAGGAGCAAATGCAGGGCCTTAAGGCAGAGAGACCCCTCACCCAGCAGGCCCCAGGGAGGCTTCCTGGAGGAAGGGTCTGAACCGACTGGCAGAACAGCTGGGTGGGCAAACCCGGGGAGGGGGCGTTGTAAGCAGGGGCCACAGAATGTAGGCTGCAAGATTGGCCCAATGACCCTCCGGGGTGGCATGGCACTGGGGGCGGGTGCGCATCAAGGAAGCCAGGGTGGAGCAGGGATAGGGCAGGTCAAAGCTCTGCACTTCCTGTGCTGGCTGCGGCTTGCGGGGAGGGGCTGGGGAAGGTGGGCCATGAGACAGCCAGGAGGGGTGGAAAGGTGGAGGGGGAGCAGGCAGGCAGCCAGGAGGAGTGGCTGGAGGGGTGACAGGCAGTGAGGGACAAAGGGGTGCCAGGACCTCCTACTACAGTCCGGGGCCGGGCGGGCTCTGGGTGACCACGGACACACCCACCCAGCCTGCCCTCAGGTAGGTGCCAGGGCCTCGCTCTGTAGGGGAGGTTTGGGAACTGCCCCAGGGCCACCAGCCTGTGAGCATGCCCTAGGGGACGGGACCCAGTGACCCAAAGCTAGAGCCCAGACTTCCCCAGAGGTGGGTCCAGCTCAAGTAAAGGTCAGAGGTCACAGGGCCGAGGGGCCACAGCTTCCCTGGGGAGCACAGGAAGTGGGGCAGTGGGGTGCTGCCTTGGGGGGGGGGGGGGGTGAAGGGCTAAGGGGAGGAGCCACAGTGGACACTGCAGCCCTGCCCATGGTGACCGCCCCAAGTGACTCCTTGGGGGCCCTTGTCTGACATGCCGTCTTTTTCCTTCTTTTCCAGAGCCTTCCAGGACCCTGGGCTACAACCTGACCCCCTCTCCTCCCAAGTCCCTCATGCCATCTGACAGGGGCAGCAACTCCTGGGGGTCCACAGATCTGCAGTTTCGGGGGCGTCGCCTCAGAGCCCTGGATAGTCTGGGGCCTGGCCTGGGTCAGGGGCTGGCTGCAGTGACTGCTCTGAGAGCCCTAGAGGTGGCCTCAGGCCCCAGCCCTCGAGCCGAAGGCTGTCCAGGCCCAAAGCCAGCACCAGATCCAGCAGCCAGACCCCCAGCCTCCAGTGCATGCCGCACCTGAACCTCATCGCCCCAGCCCAGCCCCACCCCTAGTGTATATCACTACCCACTGCCAGGCTGGCCCGGGTGGTAGGCAAGGGCCCCAGGGCGATCTTGGGAGCCCCCGTGTGAACTCTGGCCTCACAGAACCCAGAGGACCTGGGCGGGTGTGTTGGGGGGTGGGAAGTGAGCCTGGTACAGGAGAGGACCCTCTTGGTAGAGGGAAGTTAGGAGTTGGGACCACCAAGGGTGGGAAGAGGGAAAGCCCAGGAGAGGATGGTCCAACTCACCACCACTGGCCCAGCTGCCCACCTCTTCCGTGTGGCCTGGCCTTCCCTGGAGGAGCAGGCCTGGAAGAGAGCAGACTGGGCCCAGCCGAGGTGGCTGTAGCTGGGCCCTGTCCATCCCCTGGCCAGCCCTCCAGCCGCCCCAGGGCTCTGAGCCACCCTTGGGTTGCCGTGGTCCCGAGCAGAGGTGCTTGCCCTAGGCCAACCAGGGTGCGACCACGCCTCCCATCCCTGGTGGACTTGTGGGGTTCCCCGCGCGGGGATGGGGTGGCCAGCTCCCTCCTCTTGGGGCCGGATACCCGGAAACCAAGCGAATCATTTTCGACTCTCAGGTGTACAGAAATGCGGTTTACTTGGTGGGCGGCGTTGGTTCAATAAACTATGCAGCTGGCACCGCCTGCCTCCGGCGCTTTCTCCCCGCCCCGCCCCGCAGCCACAGTCGTGGAGACGCGGGAGCACAGGCGCCGGTGCCGCCGACCCGCCCGGCCCTACACCGGCCAGCGCGAGTCCGCGGTGATGGGCAGGCAGCTGAGGAAGCGGAAGCCGAACCTGCTCTCGGCCGTGCTCTGCACCGACAGCGCCACCATCGGACAGCCGCGGTCCACGCTCTTCCGGCGCACCTGGGGGGGCGGAGCCTGAGTGGCCACAGGGCGGGGCCGGGGCGGGGCGGGGGCTGCCCGGACGCCCGCGCCAGCACTCACCCGGACCTTGTGTTCCTTCCTAGCCTGGCAGTCCTCGAGGCCCAGCGCGGCCTCTGCGCGGGACAATGAGGGTGTGGGGTCGGCCGGCCGCCCCCTTCTCGCTGTCCGCCCCTCCCTCCACGTCCCTCCCTGCTGCGCACTCACCGGGGACGGGGATGGGGCTGGCGGGCAGGAGCTCTGGGTGGGTCTCGGCGGCGCCCTCGGGCCGCGCTGGCACCTCTCGCTGGCGGAGGAGCTTTCTGGTGCTCAGGCGGGGCAACTGGACCCGCGTCCTGGGGGGAAGGGCGGTGAGGGAAGTCGTAAGAGACAGAGCCTGTCTGCGGGAAGGGGTGGTTCCGGAAGGGACGGGGCCAGGGGAGGTGGAGGACCTGAGGGGAGTCCTGAATAGCTGGAGGGTGGTCCTGGCAAGGGCGGGCCCTGGGGAGGTGGAGGACAGTCCTAGCAGGGGGTCTGGGGTCTTTGTCGAGTCTGGGCCTGGGGAGAAGTTACGGGCTGGGGGACCCGAGGTCCTCACCCCGGCCTCCGGCGCCCGGCCCGGGCCTCCTGCACCCGACCCTTGCGCGGGGGTCGAGGCAGGGGCTGCTGCTCCGCGAGGTCGGCACCGGGCCGGGCCTCTGAGAGCGGGAAACGGTCGATGGACAAGTCGGTGTTGTCGGCGAAGATCCTGCACACGGTGGTCACGCAGTGAGCGGCCTGGTGCTCGCTGAGGACCTGCGGGGCCGTGGGGGACACGGTGGTCACCTCCACCCCGCAAAGCCCGCCCTTCCCACCACCCCCGCTGGGACCCGCACTGACCTCGCCTTGGGGGTTTAGGAGGAGGGTCACGCAGCCCCGGCTGGAGTGGAAGTGGACGGGCTCCTGGCCCAAGGAGGAGGGTGGCTGCCGCTTGGTGCTGCTGGGCGCCTCGCCCCACACCTGGGGACGGCGTCGGCGGCCGGTGAGGGGTGAGGGGCCGGCGGCGGGGGGGGCCGGGGCGGGGCCGCGAGGGGCGCGGGGAGCAGGGCGCACCGTGATGTGTTGCCTTGGCTCCAGCAGCGTGCTGGGCGGGAAGCGGTACATGCACACGGGGAAGTCGCGCACCAGCTGCTGCAGCACGAAGCCACCCAGGTCAGCCGTCTCCTCCAGTGACTGGTTGAGGATGCGCACGAACCTCCGGCGGTGGCTCACCGCCATGATCTTCAGGCAGGAGCCCGTGGGGCTGGGGCGGGAGCGCGGGCAGGGGAGCTGTGCCGAGACGTTCGGGCCCCTCCCACCGGGGTCCCGCTAGGAGACCTGCTCCCGCCCTTGCGCTTGGGGCTGGCTCCCGTCCTCACCTTGGACAGCGCCCGTAATGCCGGGAGTGGGGATCCGCACGGGACTCAGGCTTCTGGCCATTCTTGCCCTGCCTGTCCGAGTGGGTTTTCCGGAGATCCAGGGAGAGGCGGCCTGTCCAGGAGGGGAACCCCAATATGGAGGGTCCACTGGGGACATCTCCGGTGAGGCCAGACCTGGCCCACTGCGCCCTGAGGCTCCACGTGGGAGAGGAGCAGCATGAGGCGAGGGTCGGATCGTAGACAGGGGAGACGGCTGGACCCAGGAGGCTGCGCGAAGCGGAGGAGCGCCTGGCAGTACTTGCTGGGACGTGGGGGGATGTGGATTCAGGCCAGAGCGCAAAGGCGGTGGCAGTCGTCCTCCAAGACCACCTTAACCCCTAGGGATGTGGCTGGAAAGGCCCCAACTGCCTCAAACTGGGCTACTGTGAAAGCCCAGAGGGTGGGGGACACCCTTTAGGACTTTGGGCAGAGATCGCAGTCCCGCGGGGGTGGGAGGGGGAGAAACCAGGGGAGCCCCGCCCACTCCACCTTCCCACGTTGCTCGACTGTCCCCGCAGAGGCTCTGTGCCTGTGCCTCCTTCTGCTCAGCAGTGTGGCCTGGCGCCTGGAGAGGGTCCCCTGTCACTTTCTGCATATGGTAACGTGCAGCCAGCAGGCAGCTGCTGGACTCAGAGTCGGCACCCCCGGAGCTGCTGGTGCCCACCAGGGGCAGGGAGCTCCACTCAATGCTCTTGAGACGATGCTCCCTCTGCCGGCAGTACAGCTCTGAGTTCCACTGGTCAGGCTGTGTGGCTGGTGGGAGCTCCGGGAGCGGCGGGGCCCGGAGGTGCCTGCAGGCCAAGATCAGCTCACTGCCCGTGGCTTCAGCTCCTGGACCCCAGCCCTGCCCCCATCCAGCCTCCATAAGGAGGGCAGGGCACACCAAGTTGTGGCCCCAGTCCCTAGGATCCAGCCTGGGCAAAGGGCTCATGGCTGGACAGAGATGGCCCCAGAGCCCTTTCCCTTCTAAGTGACCTGTCCAGGGACACTAAGGGGTGGAACTTGGAGTTTGGTCCATACCAACCAAGGCAAGCCCTCCCCTCCCCTCACCCCTAGGGAGTCCCCACCCAGTGCAGTTACTGTTGATCTGAGCTGGACTCGAGGTTGGTGAAGAGGTTGGGGTACCGGTGGGCGATGCTGTTCCAGTCCACATTCTCCAGCCGGAAACCCTGGCCAGGGAGCAAGAAGCACATGACCTGACCCTCCCGCAGGACTGCAGAGCCAAGAACACACCTGGAGGGCCTCGCTTACCACCCCAGCAGTGGGGGGCCGATCGTTCTCAGAGAGGTCACTGGGGCCCATCAGGGTCTCTGCCGTCATCACCTGCAAAAGGGGCAGCAGGCTGGGGGGAAGCGCTCCCCTCTGCCCAAGGTCACTCTCCCCTCTGACCTCCCCAGTGCCTGAGGCACACACTTGCTAAGTATCAGGTGTCAGGGACTACAGGGCTTGTAGCTCCTCCCTGCCCCAGGCCTCGGTCCCGGTTCCAGAGGCAGCCTGAGGGGGGCAGGCCTCCCAGGCAGCCCAGGGACCCGCAGCAGAAGCGCCAGTCTCAAGGGGACATGCTAGCTGTCGGAGGGAAGACTGAGGAGGGCGGACTTGGGGGGGGGGCGCCCAGAGGCCAGGCTCACCTCCACACCGCCCGTGGAAGACCGCAGCATGCGGTCCACCCAGGAGGAGCGGGCCAGCTGCAGGAGGCAGGACTTCTGCAAGGCCTGCAACTCTGCCTCCAGCTGCCGCAGCGTGTTTCTGGTCTGCAGCAGCTGCTCCTCCAGGTGTGCCTTCTCCTGCTCGGGGAGGGCGGGGCCTTCTGCAGACCCTGCCGGCCAAGGCCAACCCCTGCCTGCCCCCTCCGCCCCCCGTCCGCACCCCACTCCCTGATCCCACCTGCCCCTCACCAGCTGGGCCTGTCCCTTCTGCTCTTCCAACTCCAGAGTCAGCTTTTGGACCTGGTTTTGCAAGAGCTTCTGGCTGCGCGAGCTCCTGGGGGAAAGGGCAATCTCAGCAGCCCCCACCTCTGGGTCGGCAGCCAAGGAGAGAAGGAGGGGCTCCTCTTCACTGTCATTAGGGGCCTGAGGGCACAGAGTGCAACTGGGCCAGGCCAGGTCAGGCCCTGAAGAGGTCTGGGCTGGAGGTGGCGTCCAGGTTGGGTTCAGCACCCACAGACATGTTCGGGATTAGGGTCTGGGTGGCTTTACAGTATATTAACTTCTTCAGGGCTGGGGTGGGGTATCAGGGCCAGGTAAGGACAGGGGCTAGAGGCGAAGATCAGGGCCAGGGTCAGGGCTGCGGTCTTGGCAGTGGACTTTGGAGTCAGACATGAACTCGGAGTTAAGGTCGGCACGGGGACTGGGCAGGCGGGGGACCAGCAGTATATGCTGCTGACCTCTCGGCTGGAAGCCCAGCCACTTCCTGCAGGATACGGCAGTGTCGGGCCTCCCGGTGGTTCTCGATTGCCCACCGCAGGGCCTGGATCTCCAGTTCTCGCTGCCTCCACAACAGCCGCAGAGTGCGGGGGTCCAGGGACTCCGGGGCAGACCTGAAAGGCCAGCGCTCCTTCCGCTTGATCAGGCCCTGCTCTCTGGCTGGCCTGGCCCAAGCGGCTGACCTCCCCCCTCCCCTCCTTACTGCGGGTTGACAGAGGAGACCATCCTGGTGGAGCTGAGCTTGGTGTCCTGAGGGCATGCGGGAGCCCCACGGTCAGGAGAGGCGCTGGCTGGGGGCCCCACGTGGCCGCTGACCAGTTCTCGGTCCACCAGGGATGGGAAAGCCTTTTCCTCGGCATCTTCAGCCTCCTGACAAGACTCAGGGGCCATTCTTGACGTTGAGGGAGCTCAGAGGAAGGATGGTAGGGCTACCCTGGGTCCCGTGTTTGGGCACCCCTGCACGGCTCTCCTTACATGGCCAGCGCACGTGCGTGTGTATGGCAGCCCCAAGATGGCACCGCTGGTTCACAGGGCGTCACTCTCCGAGAAGGGGTGTGTGTGTATGTGTGTGTGTGTGTGTGTGTCTGCCCCACAGGACAGCACACTGCCAGTCACGTGGGTGTCCACACCTGCGTGTTTCTGACCAGGCCAGGGCAGCAGGTCACCCCCACCCCTGGCACCATGTCACTTGGGTGTTCACATATTCCCTCTCATCTCCCCCCTGTCACCCTTGCCCTCCAGGAGCTGTAATCCTGCCCCCCAGCCTAGTGCAAGTGTCCCCAAAGGTGCTAGTCCTTTGCCGGTGATGTCCCTGTCCCCCTCAGACCCAGGGCCCTCCCGCCAACACTCACCTGAGGCCTGAAATCCAAGCAGGCCTGGGGAGAGAAACGCTCTACAGTGTTGCCATGGATACCAGCACCCAGAAGGGGAGGGGCCGTTTGTTACCAGGAGCCTCCAGGGAGACCCCAGACCGGGGCCCTGAGTGGACCCTGGGCCCCCTCCTTGTCCAGCCTGAAGGAGAAGCTGTGAGAGGCTGAGCTACTGCCCAGCTAACCTCCACAGGCCCAGAGGACACAGAGTGACCAGTAGGGTCTGCCATGGTCCCCAGCTCAGCCCAACACCTCCAACCGACCCTGGGGCAGGTTCCCACCGTCCCTCCCCAGCCTGACCATGGTGATCAGTGGGTACTGGTGGCATTGCTGCCCTGTGAGTGTGTCCACAGGCCAGCAGGATGGCCTTCGTGAGAATGTGGCCCTCACTGGGGCCTGAGCTGACTGGGGAGGAGGGAGAGGCAGGTGAGAGCTCGGAGAACCTGGCGGAGGGGCTTGCTGAGCTCTAACCAGCAGTGGAACCCCTCCTGAGTTCCTCCTATGGCCTCTGTGCCCATAGCATCTGGTGCCCATTTACCTGACCAAGAGAGAAGCCTCCCCTTCCCCTTCCCCCATCCACCTCCACCACTCGAGCAACTGCAGGGAGGCCTGGGGACACTTATATAACGATGACAATGGTCCCCTCACCCGCGCCTCTGGACAAAAGTGAGGCCCCAGACCTGACCCATTAGACTCACGCCCTCCAGTATTTGCCCCCCCCACCTTCATTCCTTCACCATTCATTCCTTCAGACTTTCAGCTTTTGCAATTGGTAGGGCTTGTGGTGGGAGGGAGGACACCACCCCCCACCCCACCCCCCACCCCCGCCCATGGCCGTCTGATTGGGCGAGTACAGCCTCTGGATGCCCTTGCCGCTGGGCCACACAGATATAGCATTGAGGCTACGAGGGGCCCTGGCTGCTGCGCTGGCTTGGGGTCTCCTGGCAGGAGAGCAGGACTGGCCTGGTGCAGGAGCGTGTCCACAGCTTGGGCAGGCATTGGGCCCCACTGAGGGCAGGAAAGGGTGGGGGGAAGGAACCTCAAAGAGTCCAGGGCCTTTGTCCCAGGCAACCTCTGGGCGGCCCCCTCACCCACCAGGATTGTCAGCCTGGCAGCAGCCAGAGAGGAGCAGCGGCCAACCAGCTCCACTGTCTCCCGCTAAGAGCCGACGGGGGCCCATCAGGCCGGGGGAGGGGCGGTTCTGGCTCCGCGGCTCCGCTGGGCGCAGGCCGGGCTCGCGGGGTCCCAGGCCGGCGCCCCCTCCCTGGGCGGGAGGCTCCTCAGACTGGGCGGCTTCTGCGGAAGTCAATCATGGAGCGCGGCCAGGCACCTGCCCCACGCGCCGCCTGCGACCGCGGTCTGGGACGCGCTTCCGTGTTGCTTTCGGGCTTGGGGCGTGCGTGGACCCGGGCTCTGTCCGCTCCGCTGCTCCCCGGAGCCCCGCCCACACCTGGGCGACGCCGGGGGCGGGGCGGGCGGGGAGCCAATGGGGAGAGCTAGGGGCGAGGCTCAGAGTAGGTGGCTAATGGGCGTCGGCATGGGGCGGGCAGTGCGCGTCGCGGAGCCAATGGAAGTGTGTGGGGCGGGGCTCTCCGGCCGTGGGCCAATGGGGTGGCGGGCCGGGGCGCTCCTGCGGCGCTGTAGGCGGCAGGTTGCGGCGGCGCCCGGCGCCTGGCAGCAGCCAGTTCGCGTCCGGATTCCGGAGGCAGGCGAGCGTCCAGGTGAGCTGCGCCGGGTCCCGGAACTTCCAGAGCGCAGGGAGCGGCCCCGGACGGCGATTCCGACGGAGGGGTGCAAGCCAGGCCGGCGTGGGGGCCGCGCCGCACCTGCACCCGCCCCAGGCGGGGACAGCGGCCTCGCGGCGATCGCGGGGACGGGCGGGAGTGGGGAGGGGCCGCCCGTGCCGGGTGCGGTGGGTCTGGAGGGCCGAGGTCTGCGGGCGGACGCCCCGCGGGAGGGGCTGTACCCTCCGAGCCGGGTGGCTGGGTCTGGTTAATGATTTGCCTTGTTCCGGGAGTGGGGCGGGGCGAGAGCAGGCTGAGAAGTGGGGAAGCCTCCGAGCGCTGCGGGAGGGCACACTGGTTCCCCCTTTGGGGGGCACTGGTCTTTGCTGCCCCACCCCCAGGAATGCGCGGCCTGCAGGTGGGGCTGGGCAGCAGACGCTGAGGGGCAGCAGTCCTGAGCCGGTTCAGGGGGTGAGGGGCAGGCCTCAAGGAGGAAGAGCGGGGCAAGGCTGTGTTGGGGCCAGGCAGGGCCTGACCCTGTGGCCTTCACCCTCCCTGCAGGACAGGGATGCTCTCAGGGCTGGCGGCCATGGAGCTGAAGGTGTGGGTGGATGGCATCCAGCGTGTGGTCTGTGGGGTTTCAGAGCAGACCACCTGTCAGGAAGTGGTCATCGCACTGGCCCAAGCGATAGGTGAGTCCCCTGAAGCACGGATGGGCCCAGCAGGTACACCTGGGGTGCCCCGAGGAGGGTGGGGCTGCTGCTGATCCCTCTTGCCTGCCCCCAACTGCACAAGCCAGGTGGACAGACGGTAAGGGATGTGGGCTGACTGACCCCTCCCCCCTACTCCAGGCCAGACAGGCCGCTTCGTGCTTGTGCAGCGTCTCAGAGAGAAGGAACGGCAGCTGCTACCCCAGGAGTGTCCCGTGGGTGCCCAGGCGACCTGTGGACAGTTTGCCAGCGATGTCCAGTTTGTCCTGAGGCGGACAGGACCCAGCCTCGCTGGGAGGCCCTCCTCAGACAGCTGCCCTCCTCCTGAGCGCTGCCCAATACGAGCTAGCCTTCCCCCAAAGCCTCGACCAGCACTGGACCGTGAGCCCTGCAAAGCACTGACCTTCAGCCTGGGGTTCCCTGGGCTGGCCCCCGGCCCTGTGCCCCCTGAGCCTGTGGGTCCCGTAGCACCAATGCCGGGCTGCTGCGCAGACCTGCAGGGCTTGGAGCGAAGGGTGCGCAGGAACGCAGCGGAGCTGGGCCAGGAGGCCTTCTGGGAGCAGGAGCTGCGGCGGGAGCAGGCCCGGGAGCACGAGGGGCAGGCCCGCCTGCAGGCGCTGAGCGCGGCCACAGCTGAGCATGCCGCTCGGCTGCAGGCCCTGGACGCCCAGACCCGCGCCCTGGAGGCCGAGATACTTATGGCCGCAGAGGCCCCTGGGCCCCCCTCACCCACAGCGTCTGTCGCAGAACGCCTGCGCCAGGACCTGGCCGCCCAGGAGCGGCAGAGTATGGAGGTGCAGGGCAGCCTTGCCCTGGTGGGCAGGGCTCTGGAGGCTGCTGAGCACGCCCTGCAGGTGAGCCCGCTGGACCCCGCACCCCTGCCAGTTCCTCCATCGCAGGGTGGATTTGGGTGTTGGTCTCAGGATCAGACGAGGGAGAGCGTGAGGCCGTGTGGCTCCATGGCCGTGCGCCTCTGAGGGTCCCATGTGCCTCTGAGGGTCCCGTGTGCCCTAGGCCCAGGCCCAGGAGCTGGAGGAGCTGAACCGGGAGCTGCGTCAGTGTAACCTGCAGCAGTTCATCCGGCAGACGGGGGCTGCACTGTCCCCGTCCCCACGGCCGGACGGGGCTCCCCCTGGCACGCAGGTCAGAGTGGTTCTGGAGGGTGGCCAGGTTGGCAGGAGGCCCAGCCCAGCTCCAAGCTGACCCGCTCTTCCCACAGGATCTTCTGCCTCCGTCCAGAGAAGAGCCCCTGCCGGGAGCCCCCCCAAGTCCAGCCCTAGTGTCCAGCCTGAGCCCAGAGAGTATGTCTGTCTCCCCCACTCTGGGTGGGATGAGGTCCTTCTGTGGCCCCCGCAGCCCTCTCAGCCCATGTCTTCCCCACAGTCACCCCCATGAGGCAGAACTCCTGGAGGTAGCAGCTCTCGCCCCAGAGTGGACGTCCAGTGCCAGCCCAGCCCTGGGCTCTGATGACATGAGCAAGGGCAGCCAAGGCCAGCCCAGCCTGGATGACAGAAGGCGAGCTCGGGGTCACAGAGGACTCCTTCCACCATGCAGTGGGAAGCCCTGGTACCCTGGGTCTGAGATGGGACTCCTCGGAGCCCTAGGGCTTCTGCTGCAGTGGGCAGGGGAAGGCTGAGGACTCTTGCTCTAGTCCTTGTCAAATCTGCGCAGACCCCTGGAGAAGCACGGGGCATGGCCAGCCCAGAAATCACTAGGCCCCAAAGGCCACAGCTCCTTGCTGGGGAAGGGAGGTGCACGGACCACCCTGTGTTCAGCCTGTAGGTATGCGCTTGCGTGTGGGAGGCATCCTTCCCCATGTCCGTGTGTGTGCAGGGTGCGCGCACACACGTGTGTGTGCTGCCTTCCTACCCCGACACTAAAACCTCAATAAACTGCCCCACGTGGCTTAAGTGTGTCCCAAGGCTGCAATGGGCAGGGTCTGTGGGGTCCCTGCATAGTCCCCTGAGCTGCCTGGGGCTGGCAGCAGCCAAAGATCCTGAGATGGGGGTTTCCCAGGGACCAGTCATCAGTTGGTCTAAAGCTGGAGCTCCCAGGGGCTCACATTTCAGGCTGCTGTGTCCACCCACCCCCTGGGGGGGTGGCCCTTCCCTGTTGGTGTGTGGGGGTGGGGGGTGGGGGGTGTTTCTCTCCTTGGCAACCTGAGCCTGGGGTTGGAGTGGTGCTGGGCGCCTGAAGCAGCCTCAGCACTGACCTGGGTTTCTGTCTGGACCCCTCCCCCACCTGGCTTCCCTCTCTGGCCTGCTCCCCACCAGCAGCAGAAAGCTCTGCCCGCTCTGGGGTGGCTCCTGGATATGAGGACTCGAGGACACGCCAGACCCGTCCATCAGGTTTCCTGAGTCTGAGAGCTTGCGGGGACTCCTGGGTCTGCGAGGCCCAGGGAGATTTGCTGGCCCCTGGAGGGTGTGCCGCCCACCTCCACTCCCCAGGTGGGCATGAAGCCTCAGCTGCATGCCTGCAGCCTTGAAATTGGGGCAGGGCGAGGTCCAAATCACAGCCCTGGTCCTGGGGTGGGCCACAGGCTCCCAGCTCAGAGAGCTGTGGCTGGGATGGGAGAGCTCTGCCGGTCAGAACCTGGGGGGCTCTGAGGCTTGGGTGCAGCCATGTGTATTGAGGAACAGGGGACGGGACAGCCTAGATCACAGGGGTCTTCGTGCTTAGTTTGGGGGAGGGCAACTTTGGGATGGACTCAGCCTTCTTCTGGGGTGGCCCCTGAGCCGGGCCTGGCATTCCCCACTTCCTTTGGGGCCGACAGTAGGGGACGTGAAGTCCTGAGTGCAAGGAGCAAGGAAACCACCAAGCGCACAGCTTATGGGAGTAACCAGGAGCCGGTACTTCCTGCCTGAGCTGCAGCAGGGATGGGAGTGGCTGCACGGGCCTGGTGGCAAAAGGGATCTGGCCCCGGCTTCCTCTGTGGAGCCCCCAGCCCATCCCCTCACCTGTCCACACTCCTGCCTGACCTGTGACTCCAGATAGGGCCAAGCACAGGCCACACAGGGTGCAGCCTGGAGTACACGGGCCAGTAAGGCCTTGCCCTGGGTGGGAGGACTGGGGACTGTCCGAGGGGCCTACTCCCTTCACCTGTAGCCCCCACCTGTGCTCCAGAGGGTTGGATGGACCGCTGGGCACCAGCCCTGAGCCTTAGCACGGCGTCATCTCCCAAGCTGAGCACGTAGGCCAGCAGAGGGCAAGGCCAGGTGCCATCCAGGGACCACCCTACACATACAGGGGAAAGGGGAGGACGAGCCCATGCCCTTCCCAGTGTCGTGGGCTTCCCCAATCCCCAAAGGGCGGCAGACACAGAACTGGGCGGACTTAAGCCCCCTGGTCTCCGTGTCTGTTTTCAGGG